CCATGGTTAATCGAATTAACTGCTCTGATCGACGATTTTGTCGACGATAAAATGGACGTAGTGCGCGATACGTATTTAGCACAGAACCATTATTTTCGAAATAAAATTGCACTATTTGCAAGCGTTGTTCAGGCGAGAGTCTATTCATGATGAATTGCTAAACCAAACATTTTAATATTTTATGGGTTGTGTTAGTGATGATTGAGGAAGACTATGTCCTTTGCAGGATTCACAGCGCGAAGAACATATTTTATCAACTTAGGTCTCAGTTGGTTTTTACTCTGTACCCTTCATTTAATATGAACAAAAACTTATAAAACGCATTCAAACGCTAATTGAAAAGCTAAGAGATATAAATTTATATTAAATATAATAACTGCTTAGAAATACTGTTATAACACTGAATTAAAATTCGGTTTTTTCTATCGGCATCTGCATCGAAGGACTTGAAGCATATAATGTTTGTTATCTTTACGTTATTGGGAAATTTTAGAGATTTTCGAGCGAGAAATGCAAAAATGTTTTCAGTATCTCGGTTTATTTCGTAGAATAAACCATTAACTATTACTGCACATAAGAAAGTATCCGTTAGAACTTATTAACATGGGTTCACATTTTGAGGTAATAAAACGGAATGAGGAGCAATCCGAATGTATCGACAATGTCGTTTGCAATTCAAACAAACCGTAAGGGCAAAAAAGGGACGTTAAAAAATAAATACCCGACGCCCGAGGTAGCAATCAGCTCTTTATTTTCAGAAATTTACGGTACATCTCGTGAAACTTTTTTTTGCGAATCTCTCGCCGTGCCCGCCACCGCCCCAGAACCACGGTTCCATTTTACGATTGCTTTTATATTGCCCATTGTGATTTGTAAATTTTCCGCGCGCGTAATGTATTCAAAGTTATTTTAATGGATGCGATTTTTGATTACCGGGGAAATAAACGTTAGACCCGGTTGGTTTATTGATGGCGAACAATTTCTTTTACGACAAATCTCGGTCCCAATTCTCACGGCTTCGGTCGCTTGGCGAGTTTATGTGCGCGACTGTGACAACGCAGTTTCTGTTGATTTTTCGTTATAATCTATTTTAGAAACGTGTAGAGTAATAAAACCTCTTTAGGGACTGCATAGTAACCCAATTAATACCAAAGACACTTTTTTTTGGAATTCATTTTAATGCATTTTATTGAATGCAGGTAGTACCACTCGGGATTATGGTGACTAGCCAATGATATAGGAATGAATGAATTAAATATTATTGACATTTTAAATGTAATGTGACAATAGAGAGACTTGCATAGACCATATTTTCTTAAACCGTCCATCAGGTACCGTGCGTTCAATTTATCTTTTTTGTTTTTGGAGATATCAATGTAAACAAAAAAACAAAGTGACGTATAAAACAAAACACTATCAATTTTCTGACATGTAAGCCTACATCATATATTTTTTAATGGAGCATCCTGTATAGTATATATGTTTAATATAATAACATATTCCGACTACAATGATTTTTTAATAGTTTTTGTATCTATATTTACTCTTTATGCTTACTAGGTTGAAATTAGTAACCTAATCTAAGAGTTATTAATTATTTACTAGATACAAAATCCAGGATTTTTAGTAATTTATTTTCTTTTTCCAGTATTTTTTTTTCTTATTTCTTTTGGTTCTATCAAGGTTTCAAAAAAAATCTCTTCGAGGCTAAAATTTGGTATAGTTGTAAGTTGTTCAAGTAGTTTATGTTTTATCTAATAGAATCCTGTGGAAATATTGAGTATGTTTTTTTTTCATCTGCTAACCTCGCAGGTATGTACATTGGATTTGTCTTGTTGTATTTGTATTTTAGGGCAAAAGACGCTATATAATAAAATAATAAGGTTTCCGCGCCGGAAGATCGGTATAGACAATATCCTTACTCTTAAAATCCTTGTAGAAAAGAGGAAACAGGTATATGACACCGTCCCTATACCCAAGCTGTGGAAAACAATTTTAGACATAGGAGTCAAGCCAAAATTAATCGAGGCGACCAAGAACCTGTACCAGCACAACGCTGCAAGAGTTAAAATAGCAAATACAGAAAACAGCAAAACAGAACAGAACCTTTCACCACTGGTAAAGGACTACGACAAGGCTGTTGCTTATCGCCAACATTGTTTAAGATATATAATGATAATAAGGACGAAGAGAGCAGGGAAGAAATTCGAGAAAGAGTAGCAAGAGGAAGAAAGATAATCCGATCACTTAACTCTTCTCTGGGATCTGAATAGAGACAATTAAAATAAATTATTATCTACAGAAATCGATTTTTGGCGGAGAAGCTTGGGCGTATCACGATTAGAAAGAAAAAGAAACATCGATGTAAGAAGAGAAATGGAAATAGAAAAAGAAATTAAAGAGGAAATAGAAAGGCGACAACTGGTATGGTTTGGACATGTAAACAGAATGACAGATGATAGATGGCCAAAACGAATTTTAAAATGGACGCCCCCACAGAGACGAAAACGTGGTCGACCAAAGCTCAGTTGGAGAGACGAGATGGAAGAAGCAATGGCAGCAAGAAATATTAATCCGGAAACCTTTTGCGATAGAAAATTATGGAAACTGAGCACGGAGAAGGGAAGACAATCGCATTAATCCGTTATATATATATATATATATATATATATATATATATATATATATATATATATATATATATATATATATATATATATATATATATATATATATATATATTCATTTTAGGACAAGTTCTAGTAACAATAACGAATTGCTCCAATCGTTTAAAATTTTAAACATAAAATTAAAAGGTATATTTTAAGAAAGCATCGATCATAACTTGGTGCCGGGCTCTGATTCTGTGCTATTGGGTTGTTCGGAAAGTCATTTCTTTTTTTTTGGGGAACATGAAAGACAGTTTTCGTATAATGAATAAATATTTTATTAAATTATATATTGGCCATTCTGGTCCAACACCTTTTGCCATCTTTCTGGCAGTAACATAATTCCCCATAATTTTTGACATCTTCATTTGAGGTAAAGGTTTTGCCATCCAAAAAATTTTGCAGGGACCGGAACAAATAGTAATCGGAAGGCGCCAGATCTGGAGAATATGGTGGATGTTGCAGTACGTCCCATTTAAGCTGTAAAAGTTTTTGGCGAGTGACCAAACTTGTGTGAGGTCTCGCATTATCCTGGTGGAACACTACACCCTTCCTGTTGATTAATTCGGGCCTCTTCTATTTAAGTGAATCATTCAATTTGTCCAATTGATGACGATAGACTTCTGAATTATTCGTTGTATTGTCCGGCAAAAGCTCAAAAAAAAAAACGATTCCTTTGACATCCCGCCAAACGGAGAGCATCACCTTCTTTTGGTGAATGTTGGCTTTTGACACGCTTTGAGCCGGTTCACCTTTTCTGCTCCATGACCTCTTGCGTTTAACATTGTTGTATACAACCCATTTTTCGTCCCCAGTAATAATCCGCTTCAAAAATGGATCATTTTCTTGACGTTTGAGGAGCGAATCACACACGTCAACGCGACGACACAAATTTCGCTCCGTAAGGACATGGGGCACCCACACATCGAGCTTCGAGGTTAAGCCCATGCCTTTCAAATGTCCATAAACAGTCGAATTCGACAAATTTAATCTCTCACCGATCTCTCGTGTGGTTATTCGCCGATTTGCATCAACTAATGCCTTTATCGCATCTTTGTCAGCTTCGACCGGCCTTCCAGACCGTGGTGCATCTTCGACATCAAAATTGCCGGAGCGAAATTTTGCAAACCAGTTCTGGCACTGGCGTACTGTTATCTATATATATATATATATATATATATATATATATATATATATATATATATATATATATATATATATATATATATATATATATATGATGACACTATATTCCGGGAATCGCTCGTTGAACTCCGACTGGAATCCTGCATCCGACTGGAATCCTGCAAATCCTGCATCCGACTGGAATCCTGCAAATCCTGCATCCGACTGGAATCCTGCAGACGTTTTTCGGAGCGCGAGCATATATATATATATATATATATATATATATATATATATATATATATATATATATATATATATATATATATATATATATATATATATATATATATTACGGAATATTACGGAAACACGACATATCAACGGCATACAAACCTGACCATACCAGCTGTACTAAGAAACCCAAAACAAAAAATTACTCTGGAAAACCAAGGAGTATACAGTGTAGCGTGCGGATCGTGCAGCCTGACGTATGTGGGACAAACCAACAGAAGGATTTCAGCCAGGCTCGAGGAACATCGTTTAGCCATAAGAAACAAACAAACATCTGCTTTGTTTCAGCACCAACATCAGACAGGCCATAAAATTGATTTCGGCACTTGCAAACAAATAGCTAATATTCCTGATTTTAGGACTAGGATTATACGAGAGGCCATCGAAATAGAAAAGTCCGGACACCTCAATACGAGAGACGACGCTCTGCATTTATCCAACACATGGAGAACGATAATCAAACATCAGAGCGATGCGCAGCAGCCAACGGGGACATCGCAACTACGATCGGGCGAAATTAACAACGCAACAATTCAGGGGGCGGAGCCACCTCCCCCCACGCACAAGCAGCACCGTTACCATCTCCGGCGCAGAGTATAAATACCGCACGCACCGCCGATAACCTCCCAGTGTTCGAAGTGTTTTCGGAGCGCGAGCATTGAAGATGTCAAGTGAGATTTTGGCGAAACGTCTGCAGGATTCCAGTCGGATGCAACTGCCTCTCGTCTGTTTACATTACACAATCCATGAACAAAGTGAATGTAGACGCATTCTTTATTCGAAAAAGTAGACAATGTACCTCGAACAGTATTTTAATGTAACACACGAATATAAATACACAAAAATAATTTGATTGACATTTGTTGTCACAATACATAAGACTAACAATCAACTGGAATTTTTATTAATCATATTAACAGCCGAACGCAATCCTGAAGCAAACCAATTCACTAAAGCCACATTTTTAACTTGAAATCATCCCATCAACATATTCTCAAGTCATATCGTGGGACACCTTTTGTATTACAGTTTCTCTTTTATTAAATTCAATATTTTTGGCGATAATTTCTTCTTTTCTCTTAAGCAAAGCGTGAATCAGTGCCTAGTTATCAAGTAACCACTAGATGGGAGTTATTGTATATCGGAGTGTGAAATAAAAATGGCGAGATCTTCCAGCAACTTTAATAAATAAAGAAAACAGGACATTTACATTTTTTGCCATAGCGTTTGCGAGATCCCTAGTTATTATTGCAACTACTAAAAGTAAAAAATGTTCATTGGCGATGCCAAGATATCAACGCAATCTTTATTATTAGGACTGCTTTTAATTATTTTTTGTCTTAACTAACCAAATTAGGACTACTTAGTATACTTATTAAGGGATTTCGTTTCACATTTACATTTTAACAAAACCTTGAAATAATAAATATCAATAATGCGGCGAATTCAAATTTCTTGAGGATGAATAAAAAAAAGACAAACAAAATCTCTCTGCATGAAGCTGAGCGTTATAACCAAAGGACCAAAATTTTAAAATAGAATTTATTAATAATAACAAACTAAAGCACAATTTGAATTCGGAGTGATCGTGAAGAGCTAAACGCCGTGTTTCGTGGCTGGTTCCTTGTTATTGCAGATTACAAGTCAAATTAAGCGGTTCAGCTAGTACTCGCAACTGTACTCGACCACTCCGCCTATTTCTGATTAAGATCTTCTTGGATTTCCTCCAAGGTTTTCTCGTTCGTCTCCGGAACGTGTTTCCACATGTAAAACACCCCGAAAGCAAGCACCAAACTGAACACTAGAAAGGGCACGTGGATCCCGCACGCCTCTTTCGTAGCTTGAAACATCTTGGTACCCAAAGCCCAAAATACGCAGTAATACACGTCCCCCATCCCCACCGCCAAACCCCTAACGTTGGCGGGAAAATATTCCGCCACCGCGAACATTGGTATGGGATGCAACCCCAATTCGACGATCACGCTGTACCCCATCAACGCCACCACGGGGACGAAAAACCAATTTCTCAAGTCCCAAATCCGGTAATACTGCAGGCCGAAGTAGACCCCGAGGGCACACGCGCATAAGCTGGCTCCGGCGGTTGATATCAATAGCAGGGGTCGTCTGCCGACTCTATCGATGATGGGGGCGGTAATCATAGTGACGGTGAGTTGGATCGAGAAAAAAATTATTGAGTAAATTTCGGCGCTGACTTGACTTCCGGTTTCGCGGAATATGATCTGCGCGTACGAGGTCACAGGTCCGATTCCTCCTAACTGCTGGATGAACCGAACCATCATCGTCATCACGCTGGCGCGCCTATTATTCTTCACCGTGAACAGCTCTTTCATTTTCCCAGAGTTTTCTCGATGGTCCTTCACTGCGTTGCCGATTCTTCGAAGCGCTTCGGCTATTTGGTCTTCGCTCTTGAGCCGGCTCAAGCTGCGTCTAGCCTCTTGATTCCGGTTTCGCATAATATAGTAGTACGGCGATTCTGGGAACCAGACGAACGCGATGAATGCTAGAATCGGAAAAGCGCTGTTTACCAACGCAGCCATTTGGACGCTGAGGTAAGAGCCGGTGACGTTCGACAGCAGTATTCCCAAGTTGTAGCATACGGTGAGGCTCATTCCGAAGAAGCCTCTTATTTTTGCGTCACATATTTCGCAAATGTAAGTCGGTGCCGCGGTGAAGACCCAACCTTCAGCGAGTCCTCCCAGCACTCGACCCACGCACAAAACAGCAAAGTTGGCGCCGAAAGATATAGTCAACCAGGAAGCGATAAACGGCGCTGAAGCCGCTAGAATGATGGTTTGTCTGCCCATCAAGTCGATAAGGTACCCGCCAGATAGGCAACCTATTGGAGCTCCGAGAACATTGGCCATAGCCAACCAGGAACCTTGGTCGTTGGTGATAGCAACGGTTGAGGTGTCTGATAAGAGTTTGGGGAGGGCGGCAGATGACCAGCCGTCTTGCATTCCCGCGACAAGAACGTTAATTAGACCTGGAACGGGTGAACTTTAGCTGGGGTCGAATATTCGTTATCATAACTTACTGGAAAAAACCGCCAGGTATTCGACGCAACGAACGTTTTTGGTGATGGTATCCATTAAACCGGACGATTGTGGAATAACAAGTGAAACGCGATCAGTGACTCAGTGACGACTGTTCGCATTTCCGCCGACCGAGCGTCGGCCATTTGATAGCAACATGCAATTAAGGCAAAAACTAAACCCCGCAAACTGATAAAGCGATATTTTTTTTATTCTGGGAAAGTTTACTATGTATTTATTGCCAATAATTTCAGGTCGTTCATGTTTAAACAATTTGTTTTTTGCGACTGGTTAATGGTTAAGTTTTCATGAACTGGAATACTTTTAACGTTGAGCTGTCTAGTAATCATAAACGAATTTCGAAGACTCGCAAATTATCTGCAAATTGGACAAAAATTTGAAACTATCAAGCACAAACTATTATCTTGATTCGGGTTTAAAGGCCGTCGTCGATTGGAATTACTTCCTAACGTTTCGCTAGCACGAGTGACGAGCTTCTTCAGAGGTCCTTCCATCTCCGATGTTGGACGTAGACTGACGATTTCTCCTACGCAGGTTGTATTTATGCCGATTGGTGGTGGGCGGGGCTTGTTCCGCTTCGGTTGGTCTCGGGATATCGATCGGTACTGCTCGGGCGTTCCTAAGGACGGGTTCCAGATTTGGTTGAGTCTAAGGGTCGGTTGAAATTGTGTGGGTGTTTTTGTATCTCAATGGCTTCCCTGACTAGTCTGTTGTGATAGCCGTTGACCGATGCTAGTAACTTACAGCTCTCAAAGTGTATCCTGTATTCCCCGCTGCCCAGTGCGTGTTCAGCTACTGCAGACTTCTCTGTATGTCCTAGCCTGCAGCTTGCTTTATGCTCCTTAAGTCTCGTTCCCATTGATCTCTTGGTACTCCCGATGTAGACCTTTCCGCATGAACACGAAATGCGGTAGACTCCTGCAGCTGAAAGCGAGCCCCTCTTGGTCTGCTGGATCTTCTTTGTACTTCTACAAAGAAGATCCAGCAGACCACCACCAATCGACATAAATACAACCTGCGCAGGAGAAATCGTCAGTCTACGTCCAACATCGGAGATGGAAGGACCTCTGAAGAAGCTCGCCACTCGTGCTAGCGAAACGTTAGGAAGTAATTCCAATCGACGACGGCCTTTAAACCCGGATCAAGATAATAGCTTATCAACGGGCCGCGAAAGCCTTACCCAATTTATCAAGCACAAAGTTCACTAAACCACACGAATACCAATTTAATTCGAATTTTGCAAAGAGCTTTAGTTCACCGATGTGTGACCATAGATCACAATTGCAGTGAACAATGTAATTTATTAAGGGAAACCAGCACCCACAGAAGATGCTGATCATATTTGCAATTGATGATAATGGGACGTCACCGGTTGTTAGAAAATTAGTTTTTTGAACACGGTGTTTTTTAAGAGATTTTTTTTGTTTTTATCCAACGTTGCTACAGAAAATAAAAGGAATGCCTAAGTAAATAAAAAAAATAAAGAGGAAGAAAGCTGAATCACGGAGATTCGCGAGTCTTTTCTTCTTGTAATAACAACATTTATAAGGAACAATACTTCACCAAACTGATCTACGTTATAGAACCGTCAGTAGGGCCTTACTCTGGACGCTACAGTATTTACGAACCTTTTCACAGTAGACTCTCGTACTGTGATGTTTAATACACAAGAAGAAGAGAGCCGAAAGTTTCAGCTGTTGTAGGTGGTGCCAAAAGCTTTTCTGGTACTGTACAGCATGAAGTCAACCAATTAAAATTGGGACTGGCACTACGATCGCTATAGTCTGCGTTTCTCCTTGTCGGTTAACAGTTATTTACCCCATATGGCAGGGTAAATTGTGGTGAAAAAACAGTGCTCTTAAAAAGTTACATTTCTTTGATGACTCTCTTTTCTTTTTTAATGATGTTTGGTATAATTGTTTGACGTATTCTGTAAAAGTAAAACCACAAATACTTTTTAGAGCCATGCATTTCCATCGTAACATTTCGTGTCATGCGGTACAATCTGCGAGAGGCAGTCAGGGCAGGTCAGGTCAGGCAGGAAGAATTCAGAAAATCAAGATCTACAAGATCCACAAACCACAAAATAGTAAAACTTCAAAATGCAAAGTAGTTTCCGTTCCTAGATCAGGAATCACCGCATTCAATTTAATAATGGCGTTTATAAAGTCTTCCAGATGTTTGGTTTCACTTGGAAGAAGTAGCCAAAGCTTCGCCAATATACCTTCAAAATTATGTATTGTATTAGGTTCTCATCTTGAATACGTTGGCGGTGTCCCCTTTATAGCGTACATTGGAGCGAAAATTTTTACAACAAATGGCAAATTGCATATTTTGGATACTTAAAATAATGATGATAGTATGCTGAATATAGCGATAACTCATGATTTTTACTTCCTAATTCACCGTACAAGTACACCGTTCGACATTTTCTTGAATTAAGTCTAAAATAATTTCAGGTGCGCAATTCTCTCTTTATCTCTAGCCCGATATTCTTGTTCTGTAACACTTCAGAATTGTTACTTTATTGGAATACGATCCGGTAGTTCCGCGCCTACATTTTAAATTCTAAGCGCCTTTTTTTCCTGCCTCACCGAAAAAAACACCTTATTTGTTCTGACGTCCGCGCTACCAGGCTAAGAAAGTCGTAATTTAATTCGCTTTATTTAGTTGTTATTGCCAATGTTTCAAATACACAATTCGTAATAAATGGTCTGCCTAAAACTATACCCTTCTATCAATGAAGAATTAATTGAACCCAACAGCGGAATAAATGCGTATATATTCTCTTTGAATAAATAATTCGTTCGCGAAATAGATTCGTATCGCTAATATCATTGGGCGTATGGCTTTATGCACCAAGTTCCGTGATTTCTCTCCGTTCCGGCATCTCTCTCGAATATCTGAGATAGTAATCTATTTATCTTTCTCACTCCTGGCTCCGAGCGACATGCGTGGTATGATATCGTTTTCCTGTTTCGGTAGAAGAACAGTGTGGTAGCTAGCCAAAAAGTGATTAACCTACCGGCTTTTTCTTCAGCCATCGCTTTGCGGATATAGGGTTAAATTTACTTAGATGTGTGGTCAGCGATTTGGTGATTCCGTTGCTGTTTATATTTTTGGTTCGTTCGGAGAACTGCCCACACTTACTCTGTAAGAGGATTTGACTGCTACCTGCTGCCTACCAAGCTTTCACCCTCAAGAACATCCATCGAGGTAAAGTCTTTAACTATTTACCATTCTATTCACTCTTTAGAGAGTCAGTAAATTTTCCGGCTCGTTTTCGGAATTTAGCCGCTGTCGGGTTATGCGCGGAAACTTTATAGGATCCTTGGAACACCCGTACTCTCGTTGGGGCACCCGTATCTCCTTGAAGCCCTGTACTCGCCTTACAGCACCCGTACCCCCTTTAGGAGGGCTTGCGTTTCGGAGTCTTCTGGATTGACGTATTCGGGGAGGATCCAAACTTCGAAGTTCCTGTGTTCTCTGGATATCGGAGCACATTTGAATCATTGCTTGACTACCGGCTCACTTGATAGATCTGCGCGAGGTCAGACACCCCCTGTAGGCTGCACTGTTCGGGAAATAAACGAGGTGACGTCCAGTTCCATGTAAGCGCTACGCGAGATATTGTTAGGCATACTCCTTTTTGTTTTCCGTTTTTGTTCCGCTCGGTAATTTAATCGATACCTTTTTTTTTGCTATACCGACACGGAAATTCAATAATCATGTAGTTTTTACTCTCGAAAATTTGTGTGCAAATGCTTTGAAAATGTATGTATGATTATTTCCGGAAGTTGACGTACCTGTAATACTGAGTATGATCGTGGTCGAGTTTTTTTTTATTTTAATAATTACCTATATTGCCCCTGTAAGCCTGTGGTGATCACCTAAGGGAATTTGACCTTTTTTTCCTTTGTGTATTTCTATTATTTTGGGAATTTCGGGCTGTCAACTTGTTGCGGGGACGGCAATTGAATTTTGCGGAGTTTAGATCGCTATGTCGCGGATTTGTAGTTTCTCATTATCGACGCGTAATAAATAACGTAGACCAGTTTTCATCTGTTTCTTTTTTTTGTCACCCTTAACCTTCACCACTATTTTTTATCGATGGTACCAATTTAAATTTAATGGTAGGTTTCATCGTTAATGTTCTCTTTTTTGTAAAACATCGGGTTCCTCACACCATCTGAGAGACTGAAAGGTCTGCTACTTCCTGGCGCCCTAAGGATAAATAGTGCTATATCTTCTTTATTATTCCCCCCCCCCCATCGCTCCAGAACTCTGAGCACTACGGGTAACTAATTTGCAAGCACCCAGCGACCCAGTTTTGCAAGAAATTCAATCTTTTTTTTTTCATTTATTTACCTCTTTTCTTTTTTCTTTGTTTTCCTTTTCTGACCAGTATTTCGCGTTGATTTTATATACGATTTAGACCAAGAGGTGCGTGGAAGCTCCTTTGCAAAAATCATAAAATAGATTCTTTTCGAAAGTATACGCACTGCTCACTAAACTCCAGATCTCGATAACGGTGCATCCTAGAGCGTCACCGTTGGTACAGATGGAATCAGCGTCGAAAAAAAAAACGTTTTTAGTTGTTGTCTGTTCTCTTCTCCGTTCTCTATTCCAGAACTTTTCGACAATAACTTCAGAACGGTTTGAGCTAGACGCTGCAAATTTTCTTTCTTTTTGACAGTCCACTAGGGGCATAAGATATTTGAAAATGAAGGTTATCAGACACTGGCAGCCATCTTTTTTTTTTTCGTTTTTCTACAGTTTTTTGGATATTGCTATTAAACAATCGACTTCAAATTTGGCACACTATTGAAATTGGGAGTACTAGGGGGTCGGGAAGTATTTTTTTAAAATTACGAGGCCGAAAAAATTCTTGAACTTGTTGATGCAGAAGATTCACCGCCATCAAATTTTATTCTTGAAAATTTTTCAAAAATGTACCGGGTGCACCGCAAATTCAAAAAACTAGGATCCCATTATTATTGAAAATTAGCTATAACTAAAAGACGGTGCTTCGGATGTCAGTTAGTTTTACATGGAGATATAGTTCGCATAAATAGCTAAAACTTTTGTATTTAAGGTTTTCACCTGTTGTATATGGTGTTCCAGATATTAAATGCAATATTCAGAAATTAACAGTTGTCTTAAATTTGCAGCTAACGACTTCAGATTTTTACGAAGGGTAAAAGTCCACACCCGCATTTCATCTGTTGGAACAGGACTTACTGAAATCTCGCAAAATATATTTTTTTTTGGTATATTTTTACTTCCAGACAAAAAATTCTCGGCAGGTATTAACCGGATCGGCAAAACTTGTGAACCGGGAAATGCGGAAGATCCGGGACCATAACTTTTATTTCAAGCGTTTTTGCCATTATATACAAGGTTTTTCAATTATAGACAAAAATCTTGAAAATCGTTCTTCGCTGTTAAATTATTAGTCGTAAATCGAAATTCGCGAAAAATATCGCCAATTGGTTTAAACAGTGTTATTGGCCACATCGAGAGCTAATTTTTGTATTTATGGTTTCGTCTCTTTTCGAGATATTTGAAAAAATCCAAATGGAAATCAACGTTTCTCGTCCCCAATCTAGGCGCGATGACGTCATATACTATTACCACGTACTGCATGTTTTCAGAAAACAACAACGAAAACTAAACGAAAACCAATTACTCTATTGGAAAAAAATCATATACCACGAAATATGGTTTATTCAATAGTACTGCAGATACGCATCAGCCTGTCATTTCTTTATCGATTTGTTCCAAACTCTTGCCCTTGGTTTCCGGCACGTATTTCCAAATGCAGATGGCGCCGGCGAACAACACGACGCAAAATATATAAAACGGTACGCATATCCCGTACGAGTCCATCGTTGCTTGAAACGTTTTGGTACTGGCGCCCCACAGCAGGCAATAGTAGATGTCGCCCATGCCGACCGCCAAACCTCGTAGATGAGGGGGGAAAATTTCCGCCACCATCAACATCGGGATCGGTTGTAGACCCAGCGACGTAACGAAGGTATAAGCGATCAGTAGCACCACGGGCACGGCGTACAAATTGGTTACGTTCACCAAAGAGAACTGATCCACCGTGAAATACACGCCTAGGGCTAAGATGCATACACCTCCACCGGCGGTAGAACATATCAGCAGCGGTCTTCTACCGACTCTGTCGACGAGACAGGAAGCTATGATAGTGACGATCAGCTGCACCGCGAATAGTACTATGGAGTAGGTCTCGGGTGAGACGTGGCGGACTTCTTTGAAGATTATTTGCACGTAGAACATAAGACTCCCCGTTCCTCCCATCTGCTGGACGACCCTGAACAGTAAAGTTATGAGGCTAGCCCGTCGGTTGTGCTTGATCCGGAACAAGTCGAGTAATTTTCCGGTTACTCCGGTCGGATCTTTGATGGTGCTTATTGAAGCCAGCTCGTGGCGACGGTTGAGTTTTTGTAAAGTTTCTTCGGCCATTTTCGAGCGTTTGCGCAGGAGGTAGTAGTATGGAGACTCGGGAAATTTGACGAACGATACGAACGCCAGTACTGGCACAGCTGTGCTGACCAAAGCCGAGTTTTTTATGGATAGATAAGATCCCACGGTGGTAGCCAAGAGGATCCCGGCATTGTAGCTGACCGCTATGTAGGCTCCTAGGAATCCCCGAATGCTGGATTCGCAAATTTCGCAAATATAAATTGGGACGGTGGCGAAAATCCATCCTATTCCGATTCCCGCTGCGAATCTGGCAACGCAAAGCCACTCAAAATTTCTCGCAAAGGCTATCGCGAGCCAGGCGGCAAAGTAGAGTGGCGACGTCATCAAGATGAAGGGTTTTCGTCCCACTACGTCGACCAAGTACCCTGCAGACAAGCATCCCAATGGGGCCCCCAGCAAGGGCATCATAGCTAGCCAAGAGCCTTCGTTGTTCGTTACAGGAGTACTGGAGGAGTGAGCGAGGAGTTTAGGGAGCGCGGCGGAGGGCCAACCGTCGTGCATGCCCGTAGCCACCACATTGAGTAGACCTAAAAATTGTTAATCGTACGTCAATGAACCAAATTTGAAAACATTTTTTATCAACGCGTAAAAAGTTTACCAAGTATAATTTTGTTTAAAAATATGTTTGTTTCAGTCAGTTGTAGAAGCTAGTATTAAGGTATAAAGATAAACACTGCCCGCCGGTGTAACCTTGTTTACTGATATTTTTTGTGATTCATTATTATTTACTTATTTACAGAAGCTTTAAGAGGCCACTGTTAACTGTGACTGCTCGTCGGACCTCCTTTGGATATGACGTCATTGTTTCAAGCTTCAAAGTTTGGAAGGAATAATAGTTAGTGTTTTTAGAAAGTGATTAAAACTCAATTTTTAATTTTTGGTGGCCTTCTATCGCTTTCGTACTTGCTAGACTATTTGCATTGTATTATTGTATTTTTTTAGTTTGTCCTTTGTTTATACTATAATTAATAGTATTATTTATAAAACTTATTATTCGTCTTGTTAACGGTAACTGCTCGTCGGACCTTCTTTGGATATAACGTCATTATTTCAAGCATATTTCAAAATTTAATAATAGTTGGGTTAGTTAGTGTTCTTGGAAAATTATTTCAAGTTCCTCCTACCACGACATTTCTCCAAGGTTAAAATTTTTAGATAGACATTGATAATTATGAAATTGGAAAAACACAGCAAGGACGTTTTTTATTTACTTATCTACTAATCACCTTGGAATTAGTATATCCCCTCCATCGATCTCACCATAGAGTTTAAAAATTCGTTGCAGAAGTGTTAGGCAGATCAATACTTGAAGATAGTATCTCTAATTTCACATAAAGAAACGAGTGACGTTTTTCATACTATAATTTGGTGAGAGATCTTGATTTAAGTATCATTAAAATCCGCCACTTACCGAAGTTTTAGACATTCCAACTTAATGCCATGTTACGCACTTACTACTTTTCTATTCCAAATTGTGCATTTTATTTACTAGTAATACCTGTGAACACGGCGGCATATTGAACAACCCTGCTGTCGGAATCGGGAACGCTATATGTCATCTAATCGGCTTTTGCGTCGGTACGCTTTAGAAGTCGAAGTCCGAAACACTAAATTGGGTGCAATTTCATTCCAAAACACCCGCTACACGCGTATTATATTGTTCGTTAAAAACGCAGCTGATATGGCTTACCATGATGTGTCATTAACATTATTTTGCTTAATGGTTACTATTGGACATACGTTGCAAATCCGATAATGGGCTTTGACGTAACGTAAGCCAATTAGCAAAGCAAGCACTTTTGGTAAAGTGTTCGAAAAATAGTTTTTCCTGAAAAGATCTTTAATGTACTTACGATTGAATGTTCATGGGATGTAGCGCAACAATTTCCAGAGAAAGAGTACTGTTACGGTACGAGTCCACTGTATTTTAGGCGTTTATCAAATCAATCGGTGATATTAGCTTTAGTTTTTTTAATATTTGGACAAGCAGATAAGATTTGGAAACTGGGCACCACACCTCATTGTCTTGCCTATTGCTGTCGTTATTCTCTTACGCAAAAAAAAAATCAGTGGCGCTACAAGCATTTGGAGCTATTTTTCTATACTGCTATGATCAGACTGTAACGTTTGCAACTATATGCGCTTATATACTAGCTTGAGCTGTTCATTTGTGACTGAGTTTGGTACAGCAAAAATTTTCCGCCAAGACGTCAGCACTGGCGAGCTTTATCCATGGTTCCCGAATCGCCGGTATTTCCACGCTTGACTTGCTGAAAGTGTTTTTATTATTTTTTCGTTTGTCATTTTGTGCTATGTTCAACATTAAGTATGATTTTGTTGTGTTCTTCGCCATTTAGTGGACATTTAATCTCTATAATATATCCCTCTCAGATCTTTGATAGGTCTTTCAAAAATGCAGTAAAACCTTATGTTTCTTATTACATTTTTACCATTTTTGATGACAAATATCGGGAAGGGTTGTTAGGGATTTCTTGTTTTTTATGTTGTTACCTTTTTGTGAATAGTCTCAGTTGGACATGAGTTTAAGTTGAAGCAATAAGCAAAACAAGGTTTTAGTTCATTATACAACTATACAACAACAAAAAAATCAAAATCGAATCATAAACAAAGATTTTACAAGGGTGCACATGTCTCAAGTGGGACACACTGTATATTTTCACTATGCGTCTAATCTTTTCTAAAATACCTTTTACATAATTATGGAATCGTTAAGAGCGAGGATAGGCATTCACAAATCTATTCAGAGATTTCTCATTAAAGCATTTTAGGGCAAATCTATTTCAATATCATTGAATTGAATTTAGCAGTCCCTTATAGTTATTGATGAGACTCATGAGAGAGATTAGTAAAACATTTCTAAAAGCTTTGTATCAAATGTGTTTAAACATTTATAAAACTGTTTATGCTTGAGCTAAATTTATTTTATAATTGTTTTAAAATGATTTTATTGGTGGTGCAGGTTCCCACAATAAAAATAATTTTTTATTTTTTGGAAGAGCTTTACAACAACATTTTACAGTTGTTCTGAATGTTTACTTTTAAAACAATAGTTGTAATATTTTTTTTATCCTATGCAACATTCCAGTACAGCTTATTTATCATTTTATGCTAATTCGGAATCCAGTCTACTGCCAGATTATAGAATGTCGGGTGGTCAAATTTCAATTTGGAAAGAACTTAATGGTAGAATGGATTTTAAATTCATTAAAACCTACTGTAAATCAAATAGTTGAGACATCGTTATCCACTGTTAAGTTGGAATCTATCATTACAGATTTAGAACATTAAAATGTGAATCTTCTGAAAGTCAACTAAACCTAGAGGATTTCTAACCTTCAACAACAACTTTGTTTTCGCGATGAATTTTCCTAACCAACCACCTTGGCATAATTGGGAAAAATCAAATTAATAACAATAATTTATATTATTGCAACATCGGACTTGGCAATCAAAGTGTGACAGAACAACATGAATTGTTTTTTAGTTTTATTAGGAACAAAAAAAATAACAAAATTTTTTTTTTCAAATTTTGTAAATATGGGAAAAATGGAAAAAAGTGCTTTAAAATGTCAGCTACAAATAATAATGTCAGTACAGTTGACGTGCTCAGAGTATTTTACAATTAGCACAGTAACAATGTATATAAAGAGAGCATCATGAGAGCAATAAACAAATCGTTTTTGGAGTTATAGTGTAAAAATATTTTTGAAGTTGTCGAAGTCCTATATAAAACACATTGTTTTTAACTTAAACGCTTTCAAGGCTGCTGTAATGCTGTTTTACCGCTAATAAACTTTTGAAACTATACTTATAAAATAATTTTATAGAATTGTCAGAGAACGTCAACGTCAAAATTCAAAGCGTGGGAAATATCTCCGAAAACATCCTATTGCTCCCAAATACGTGCGGTAAAATCCCGGAAATGTCCGAAGTGACTCGGATTCATGGGAAACGAAACTGATGTGGTAAAGTGACGCTTCCCGCACGCTAGATCGGTGCTTAATCAGGTATTTTACAGACGGGAGTAGAAAATAATATATTATGAAACAACTGCGGTAAACGGATTTGACTCACGAGTATATTTGACACGAGGGACGCACAGCGGAGCGAGTGACTTGAAAAGTCTACCGGACGTGTTGCATACTATACTTTTTCTACGACCGTTATTTTTTGGGCAAAACAACGCGAATTCATTCACTGACATCACCGTCAGAATTGACAAGCTTCAAAATTGTGGCATAGTTAGTTTGGCATTATTTCCAATATTAATATTGTGGACAGTGTAACGAAATATTAATCGATCTTTTATAGAAGGTGGCGAATTAGGATTATTTATTACCTAAAACAAAAATGCCGAACAATGTAGGATTCTTCGCTCATTCACAAACCTAACGCTTGTTACTTTCCCGATGCCAACATAGACCATAGACAAAGTCACAATAATTGAAATTAAAGAGGACCAAGGTTTCACAGACTTCGTTTTAGTAGTTTACTTAAAATATGTCTATTATTATATGAAACTTTCATGGAGACAAAGGATTTTTGAAATATTTTTTTTAGATTGGCACAATTTTTAAAATTTAATTTTGAGTTAGTAATTTTTTGCTCTTTCTTTTGAAGTTAAGGAAGTCTTGTTCTTTAGGAAATTAACATTCTTACCACTCCCAAACACCAGAACACATGATTTACTTGGATTAAGTTGTGGTTTGAAGGTCATCATTAATGTATGTTTCAAATTCTATCTACTTGTATGCAATTGTTTTGTAAACTTCCGCATTTTCCATGCTTCTAGCGCCATATTAAAGGTGATTTTTAAACTAAAAAACTACATTAAAAGTTGTTATATAGTAAGGTATATGACAATTTTCAGCGCGTTTGTGCTGGTAGCATTCCCAACTTGCCTCGACAATGTCTAATGATGCTATCACAAGGACATTGGCGCATAAGCTTGCTAGGTAGAAGCGAATTTCTTTGAAGTACTTAATTCTTGTTTTTTTTTTGGATCTCTACAAAATATTTAGTGTTTATAACACATGAAGTTGTTTAACGTAGTAATGGTTAGTCAATTTCAAGGGAAAATCTACTTAAATTTCTACAACATTCAAAAAATAGTTTGCAACCAACTCATTAACAGACAAATACATAAAAAAAGAGTGTGCGGGGAGCGTTGAACTTGTTAAAATTGAAATTTGACAATAGTAAAAGACGGCCAGTAATGGGGAATCTTGTCTTGCTCATACCCAATTAAATAAATATGTATATAATTATTTATATAAATATAAATAGACCTTTTCTGGTTGATATATACATACATAGACAAACATATGGAATACGAACATATTTAGTTTAAAAAAAAATCATGTGAAGATAAAATTATTAGTAGGTACTTCCTATTCACAAGATAAATACTCAAAACCACAAATAGGTAGAAAACCTGAGAAATAACATAAAGCCATTGCTTATTGTAATTATCTGCTATTAGTACTAACGTGTATGACAAAGAAAAGGATGCCCATTTCTAGTCGTAAGGATACCCATTTCTAGTCGTCTCTTTCAAAATAAAATTTTGTCTGGCAAAATCGATATCGGCTCCCTTGCCCATCGAGATCACTGGCGCGAAGAGAATGCAGCTCGCACTGTACCTACACAAAGTCCTGCGTATTTATACTTAGGAGATCCTAAACTCTGACGATTATCTCGATCGAGCCGCGTACCGCCGCATTTAATTGCCGCGAAACAAAAACCCGCCACACGAAACTGAACCATAATTAAAAGCGGCAATTAAACCCATTCCTATCCATAAAGCAATTACGCACTTCAATCTTCGCAATTAAAACAATTAAACAATAAACTAAAAACCGCCTGCCTAATTGGTCGATAAATCTAGATGGAACAAATAAACACATTTTCTAATTACGCTCGCTGTCCGCTTCCGCGCTCTCTGGCGGACGACATTCAAACTAATTAAAAGAATTTAAATTGTATTTGGCGATTGCGGCATTCGTTATTTTATTTGGTTGTATTAAAGTCGAAGAATGTTGCGCGAGAGGAGGAAATGGAAGTTGCTGCTGATTGAAAACCTCCTTTATTAGTTAATAAGAGAACATCAAGCTGTAAACAGTCAAATAAGAAGTATTTCAAACCAGTAGTACCTTGTATAAGAATTGTATTGTTATATTGGTGCTAGTTTGTAATGGCGTTCCACAAGTACCTATCCTTGGGACACTTTTTTTTACTACACACTTCTCAGCTTTATCATCACCGTTAAGCCAGAGAAAATTTTTGATAGTTACTACTTATATTGACTTATAACAATAAGCCAAACAAGGATCTAAGACTCTTGGTGGATGTTAATTGGTACCGCTTGAAAGCACAGCTTTAAGAACAAAATATTCAGATCAATTACATATTATTTTAATATTAAATTTATGTATGCCTCTTTGAATTTGACTTAAAATGCATTCAGTGCACTGAGAACCACTGTGTCCTGTTAAATGATAGGTTAAGAAAATAACGGCGTGACTTTTTAATGAACCTTAGTTACGAGGTCAACAGCTATTATAATAAAATACCAAGTAGCTTAAAAGGTGTCAGTAGCTTTACATTTAGTAAAGAGATTAATAAG